GAAGAATATGGGCTTTGGAGGTAGGTCCTAGGATTTTTTTTTTTTTTTTTAAGGTGGGCAAGATGCTACCTTTCCTGAGCCTCCGTTTCCTCTTAAACATAGAACAAAACACCCTACCTCAGAGTGGTGTTGAGAAGCCAGCTGGAAAGCACATGGCAGCTGGGCACGGCCCATAGATCCAGAGGAGTTTTTCTCCTTCCCCTCCCTCTGCTCTGACCAAGTTGTCAAAAACAGCTGGTACCTGCCCCTCCCCCCACACCCCTCTGTCCCTGCTGAGATGGAGCACCCCCTTCCCTCCTGCATGCTCACCAGGTGCAGCCTGTCCCCCCTTAGCCCTCTGCCCCAGTGTCTGTATGGAGGCTCTGCCAAAGTTCCAGATTGCTTCTCACTGTCATCACGCTAATGCCCAAGCTTGGAGCTGGTGGAGCCCTGCTGTCCTTTAGCCTGGACCAGCTCCCCTTCCCTGTGCCCCCAGGTCTACACCTGTCAGGCAGAGGCCCCTTCAGATATCCCTTCCACCAGCAGGCATACTGTGGCCTGGTCCCAGGGACTTGAGCTCTAGGCGCTCCTCCCACAGCTCCCAGCGTGCCCCACAAGGAGTCCAGTGGAATCTGTGTCCTGTGTCAGCTTGGGCTCCTCTGAGGGGGTTGGGGGCCACTCCGGGGGGTGGGCACCCCAGCTGAGTCCTTCCTGCCCTCCAAGATGGCAGATAGTCTGAGATGCAGGAGGAGGAGGAGGAGGAAACAGCTGCTGTGTTTGAATGGGAGCAGATGGTGAATGAGAACCCATTCTCTCCTCCCGGCCAGCCATGGGGAGGCAAACAAGCAGTCACACCCTCTCCACTCCCCAGCTGCCCCCTGGAGCATCAAGGGAAGGTGCCCACCAACCTGGGTCCTGGGGGAGGGGAAACTGGGCTTGGGCTCTGGCCAGGGCCTTCAAGCCCCACTGGCTGCCATTCCCTGTGTGACATGAGTGCTCTGGTTATCCATTTTCTGCTCTGCAGTGGGGGGCATCGCTGACTCTCGGTGGGTCACTTCTCTCTTCCCTTGAAGGGCAAGTGTGTGTGATGCCAGGAACAGAACAGGAGGCCCCACATTGCACTGAGTCCTTCAGGTTTTTCTTTGGCACTTGAGAACATTGGATTTGGTTCTGGAATTTATAGCTATATGACCACTGTTCTCACCAAATCTACCTGGCAGTAAATCTAAAAAAAATGTGCCTTTCTCTGGGCTGAAGGTGTCCAGAGCTGTGTTTACACGTGTGCCGTTGTACCTGTGCCTTTCTGCCATGCACAGTCAATACAGCCGGGTCCCGCAACTGTGTACACGTGTACTGCATGTACCCCTGGGAAGTCATGGTTTCTTAACCTTACTGAGCTTCAACTCACCACTCCCATCACTTAAAATGGGGGGATTGTCCAGTTATTTCTTATTCGTTCATTACCAAAGTAGACGCAGGAGTTCCCAGACAGTTATGGCTTCCTGTGGGCTCTTGTTGGCAACCAGAGATTGCTGCATCCTTTAAAGCACATTTACAAGCTTCACAGGTTGGACCAAAATGCAGACCACACCTCTCATGGTCATACAGATCAGTTCTAGTATCTTCAGGCTCTTTCTGGGCCTTGTTCTGCTTAGGCCTGTGGGCTTACAGGCAGGAGTCCTGTGGCAAGACTAAGTCTCTAGCGGACATGACCTTTGTTGAGAATCACAGTGAGGTCACCCAGACACAGCCTTTAAAACAAATCTGTTGGCCAAAAGGAATATTATCAGTCTCCTTGGGAAGCCCAAGGTGCTCCCAACATCAGGCAGAACCACCCAACTTCCAGCCTTGGAGTTAGGGCCAGTTGTGTTGGGAGTAGTGTCACTGATACTCACAGTGGCAGAGCACTCCGCCTGGGGCTTGGCCCAGCCAATTGCAGAATTGTTGGCCACAGTTGTTAATTTCTGTGCTTGAAACAAGCCCTACTTTTTTCAGGATTTCCTTTAGATGTGGTGGCATCCACTGAATTCCAAGCCTTCCCTGAGCATTGGGCATGCAGCTTACGCTGTTGGCCTCTTGCAGGCTGTGCAAGTGTGGTGGGAAGGCTTCCGGAGCACAGAAGAGTAGTAATAGTCGAAACTTTAGGGTTCGGGGGCCCCTGAAAGTTGCTAGAATACCTTGAAAGCTGCAGGGGAGCTGTTCTTTTTGCCCATCTTCACAGAAGCTGGGGCTTAGGAAGGTCAGATGACTTTGAAAGGTGAAGCTGGTACCCAATCTGGGGCTGTCCAGCTCTGGGACCTGAGCTCTGGCCTCCCCTCCCACTCCTATGTAGTGTTGAGGTCCTGTCTGAATGGTGCACTAAGCAGGGGCTGGATCTGGCAGCCTCCCGGGTTTGAGACAGTAGCTGGTTGTCCCTAGATGATGCTGCAGCCAGGACCAGGAGGTACGGTGGCTTGGAAGACTGTGCAAGTATGCTGGCTGGCCAGAAGAGGTGGACAGAAGAGTATGGAAACCAAAACAGCCTCAGAGTCATGAAGGGAGGAGGCAAGGCGTGCAGGGGGCTGAGGACAAGCCTCGGGATGCAGGGTGCAAGCTTGAGGTTCCAGGAGTACAACTGAAGTCCAACTTCTAGAGCGTCAATGCAGGCTGATGAGGACATATGTCCCCTGAAAAGAAAGGCAGGGATTGAAGTCAGAGCTGACCCCAGGTTGGGCAGGGTCAGTAATGGGAAAAGGGAAGAGAGTAGGTTCCTGCTTCCCAGAGCAGGTGGGGTTGGCTAGGGCCAGACCCAAAGGGATAGGACCTAATAACTACTTCCTCTTCTCCACAGTGTAGAACTGCGTCATCCTGGAGCAGCTCCTGGGCAAGAGAGGCAGTGGGGGTAGGAGCCCCTTCCCCTTCCCTAATCAGGGCCACACCTTAAGAGGGAAAACAAGAGCCACCTTGAGTCAGAAAAGGGTTTCTCTAATGCAGTCCCCACCCTAAAGCCAAACCAAATCCCAGCAGGCCCTAGGCTCCCACGTCATCCCAGACCTAACCCAAATCATAAACTCAGCCCCACCCCACCTCCAATCTCACTGCAAGCTATTCAATTACAACCACACAAATAATTCCAAGCCCAGCCTGGAGCCTCCATGCTCCATCTCCAGCCCTATCCTAACCAGCATCTACTTAACCCAAGCCTTACACTCTCCATCCCCAAAGCCAGCTCAAAGTGAAGAAGGAATTCCCATCCCCAGATGCTATGCCAAACCCTGACCCGGCCCCTGACCTGGCTGCTGCTATCCTGTTAGCCCAGCTGCCCCTGTCTCCCCATTGCACCCCCAGACCCTGCTCTTTTGCCCTCACCACATCAGCCCTCCCATTTGCAGCATCCGTGATTTTTGTGGCCAGCCTAGCATACAGGTACCCCGCAGCTGCACATCCCTGCTCAGCAAGCACCCGTGCTAGGTCGCCCGACTCAGCCGAAGCCAGTGTGGAGCACAAGGACTGTACATGTATTGTCTGCGTGCACACAGACACACACACCCCCGCACACACTGTTCCCCAAAGTACACAGGTACCTCCTGACAAATACACATACACAAAGACGCACTTCAGGAGGTAGATGCATACACATTTTAGTGTACGCACACACACATCTTCGTGTACACACAGGCCCCTCAGCACACACACATTCATCCTTAACATAGACACATACTCCTCTGTATGCTTCTATGTTAAGGTGTACGCTTGCGTATGATCAAGCATATATACACACCTCAGTGAATGTCACACTGGCACAGACGTAGGTAGACACCTCTGTACACTCAGTGCCCACACACAAAGACACTTTAGTGCACACGAAAACACACCTTTGCACACGTTTCAGAATACTTACCTATGTCCAATACACACGTCAACGTAAGTACTCATACACATCTCAGTGTGCACACACCCACCTCGGCATCCATGCAATATGCATGTCAGTGCATGCAGTGTCCGGGTGGGGGGTGGGGCGCGGACAGCAGAAGTCCAGCCTAGCTTAGTACAGCATGGAAGGACCTCTTGTTTCCTGCCCCTGCCCTTGACCCTGGGTCAGGCACTGTCCAGTCCCTTCTTGCTAGGCCCTTCTCCGTCCAGTCCCTTCTTTAGTACTGTCCGTCCATCCAGGGATGCTGCCTCTCACCCTGGTTATATAGCCAGGGTGGTGGAGCCAGCAGGAAGAGGGGCCCCCAGGACAGCTTTCTCTAGGGTCCTGGGGCTCATAACACCCTAGGTCCCGCAGCGAGCGTATGGGCTCCCTCAGTCGCAACAGGGGTCACACTGGAGGGAGCCAGATTCACATAGGTCCATGGCAACCACTGAGAGCGGGGCAGGGCAGGGCAGGGCAGAGGAGCCACACTGTCTGAGGACCGGCTGCTGTGACCGGGCTAGGCAGGTGGCCGTCAGAGGGGGTTGTGAGAAACTGTGGCTACTCTTCAGGTAACAGCACGGTCATCGAGGGTTTCCTGTGTGCCGGGAACTGCTTGGAACGCTTCGGTGCTCATTCACTCCCCAGCACCTGGGCATCTGTCGGCTGGGGAGGTAGATGGGACAGTGAGGTCTGGAGGGGAAACAGTTGCCAGTTACATGGCAAACGGGGCCAGTGGTGGGATTTGAATGCCCGCCCGTGGCTGAGAGGTGCCTCTTTCCTGCTCCCCAACCCCATGCTAAGAGCCCTGTCTCTGTTGTCATTGTCGTCACAGAGCCACAGCCACCTTTCTGGGCCTCTTCCTTCAAGGTCAGGGCTGGGTCTGCAGGGCCTGGCCAAGAATAAATGTAGGACCCAGCCCAGCTGTAGATCAAAGTAGTCCGGGGGGGGGGGGGGCGGGGTAGGGGGGGGGCCGGGGTTCTGCCAGGCTGTGTTGATCTCTTATCTCCCAGGCTTCATTGACCTTATCTGATGGAGCATACAACAGGCAACAGATACGGCTGACAAGGCCCCAGGGTTACTGAGTAACCCCGGCCTCTTTAAAAGTGCCACTGTTTACCTCCCGGCACTCAGACTGGCCAGCTCTGTGCTGCACACTGCTGCCATGAATGCCTGTTTACTCTCTGCGCTCTGCCTCCTGGGGGCCATGGCTGTCCTGGCAGAAGGGGTCACTGTGCAGGTATGGCCCCATCCCTGCTCGGTTTGGCCCATCTTCGGAGTCCTGAAATGAGGGATGGGTTTCCTCTGGGATTAGTCTGGCTGCTCCCGTGTCCCACTGGGACTCTGCAGGACTGGGGAGGAGTTGGTGGTGGCCTTCCACAGAACAGAAATGTGGGCTTCGCGTCGGCCGGTGGCTGGGCTCAAATCTAGCCCTGGTTCCTCCATCCTGCATTTGCCTGGAACACCAGTCTTGTTCCCAGGCATCGATTGCACACATGAGGGCCTAGGTGGTTGGGCATGCCTACTGATGACACCAGACTAGAGGGTGTTGGCAAGTAAGGGTCCTGCTCTCTCAGGGAGGCCTCCGGGATCCTTTTGTTGTTTCAGAAAGGCTGAAGGCTGGAGGTGCCCTTGGTCAGGAAAACACAGCCTGGGCTAGAGGACCCACAGATCAGGAGGCCAGCTCACCCTCATGTGACAACCTCTGCACTCCTGGCTCTCCCTAGCTGCTTCCCCATTTCCTCACATGATCCTGTGCAGAACTTCAGGCCTCTAGCAAGCCCAGGGGCACAGGAGGCTGATTTCACACTGCCTTACAGATGGTCCCAAGCAAGCCGCCCAGGCGGTGGCTGCCTACAGCCTGGCCTCACGCTCTGGCTGTCTCTTTCAGGATGGAGATCTTTCCTTTCCTCTGGAGTCGGTGAAACAGCTTAAGGACCTCCAGAGGGTACAGAAGCCCAGGCTGGTGGGTCATAAGATGTTTGCTTCCGGGCTTCTTAAACCCGTGGCTCTACAGCTGTGCAGCCTCCCTGCCTTTCCAGAAGCGCTGAGGCCTCTCTGCCAGAAACCCAATGCTGAGGAGATCCTGCAGAGGCTGCGTGAGTGGCTTTGTGACTAGTGTGGCTGGGGCATTCCCTGACTGGTGCTGGAGGAGGAGGAGGCATGCTCTGATTGGTTAGTTCTAAGTGGGTCCTGTAGAAGCCTCTTAGAAAGGCCTTCACTCAGAAGCATGGGTTAAAAGGAGCCCTGCGGTCCATCTTCTGGTCAAGAGAACTCCATCTCTGTCCTGGTTAGAAGCTGCACTCTGATTGGCTGGCTTCAGTCAGCCCCATTTGAGGCAGAAAGCCCAGAGGGTCAGGGGAGACCGGCCTGCTGGGATTATCCTGGTGGTTTGGTGACAGGTACCCAAACTCTAGGTGTAGAGAGGCAGGGGCTACGAGGGAAGGGCGGCTGTCTCTCACCAGACTCCTTCTCTCTTGACCAGAGGCCATTGCTCAGGACCCAGATATGTGTGAGATCTGTGCCTACGCTGCCTGCATCGGATGCTAGGATGACGTCGCTTGCCTTCCTTCTCAGCCCCCACAGAAGCCCCTTCTACCTTCTGGAAGCAGAGGGCCTGACAAACCCCCATCCCTGGCATCCCAAACTCTCCCGGCCACGGCAGGGAGGAGGCTGAGGAGACAGCTGCCTGGGGAAGCCCTCCAAACCCTCAGCCAATAAACCAGACTCTAGTACTCCGAGTTTCGCCTTCGTTCCTCTCCTCGCCGGCAGTCAAGCACTCGGTGCTGTGAACACTCACCTGCCCCCGGAAACCTGGGGTTCAGTGTGCAAAGTACAAGGCTCCCTTTCCTTGCCAAGTCCTGCCAACCTTGACACCAACACCACACACGGGTACAGGGGGCCACCCAGGAGGGTGGGGTCTTCCCACTTATCTCCTGGGGTCACTAAGCTGCTAGGCCACCTGTGAGGACAGGAACTAGTCTGAGCTGGTTTGGGTGCCCCATACTCACAGGCGTTTGACCTGCCACTTAGGAAGTGGCTCCCTCAGGAGGCACCGGTGCTGCCTTTGCCTTCCTGGGATCCGCACTGGAAGGAGCACGCCGTGCCCTGCCCTCTGCGCCAGCCCTCTTCCTGCGTGCCTCCTTAGGTTTGCCCGCCCAGGCTCCATGGCCTTTCCCGAGCCTCCCCAAGAAGAATGATTGTGTCCTGTGGTCACCTGTATCTCTTGCACAGCTCCAGCCACCCTGTTGGTGACTTCTGTGCATGAGGAAGTTGTTCCTGCGTGGCTCAGGGTTAAGGCTACCCCCCAGCGGTGGCTGCTTAAACAGCAGTGTGGGAGGAAAAGCCAGGACGCCAGGTCCCAGTCCCCCGGCCTTCCACATCCTGTGTGATGTCAGGGAAACCACTTCCCTTCTCTGTGCCTCAGTTTCCTTCTCTGTAACAGTGTCTAGCTCTAGACCCCGTGAATGTTGCATTTCAAACTCCCAGTTTAGACCTGATATAAACATAAGAGAAATTCTTCGAATGGTTTTTAAAGAAAAGGAAAGAGAAGAAAGCAGGACCAAGGGTCAGGCGGAGAATGGCTCCGGTGGGAGATGACCTCACACAATACAGGAGTGAGGCCACTCAGCAAGGACACAGGAGACAGAAAGAGGAGGCTGCTGGGGCCTGTTCTGAGGGGTGTGTGGGAGCTGCCACGGGGGGCGGGGGGCTTCAGACAGGCTGCCTGTGGTCTGGAATGCAGACCTCTTCTGTCTAATGCCTGCCGGGAAGCTTTGCAAAGGAGGAAGGACCTTTTTGTTATCCTGGGATCTGCAGTGGAATAGATGGATTCTGGGTAGCCTTGGCTGTCCTAGACTCCCTTTGTAGACTAGGCTGGCCTCGAACTCATAGAGAGCCATCTGCCTCTGCCTCCCAGAGTCCTGGGATTACAGGCCTGCGCACCTGCCCAGAACAGATGGATTTTAAAACCGATATGAAGTAGGATAGAAGGGAAACTCCGAGAGAAGAGGGATGGTGGGAGCACAGGGAGGCACCCTGGGTAGCCCAGTGTGCACGTGGTGGGGCGTGGGAGGCAGACAGGACTGGGCTTCAGCCTGACCCTTGGAAGCCACGCCCTACCCTCTGACGCTTGACGGCTTCCTCTCAGGGTTGCGGGGGTGGGGTGGTGGGGTGGTGGTGGTTAATGAACCGTGTGGTGGATAGAGTCATTTAAGGTTTCAACACTAGAGCCAGATTCATTCAGTGTGACTTTGGGCGGTGAGACTCAGTTTCTGTGTCTGCAAAATGGAGATCTTGAGAACTACCATGACCAGGCATGATGCCGCATGTAATCCCAGGAGGTAGAGGCAACAAGATCAGGAATTCAAAGTCGTCCTCAGCTCCTAGCCTGGACCCCTGTCTCACAAACAAAGAAACATGAGAAGAAAGTCTACTTTGTAAAGTTGAGTGAAGAGTACACAAACTAATACTAAAAGTTTTGTTTATTTTATTTTTTAATGTGTATCAGTGTTTCACCTCTGTATATGTATGTGCGCTACATACATGTCTGGTGCCCTAGAAGGTCAGAGGAGGTTGTTCGTCCCCGTGAGCCACTAAGTGGGTGCTGGGACTGAACCCCGGGTCCTTTGCAAAAGCAACAGCGCTTTCAACATCTCTCCAGATCCCTGAAAAAGTTCTTAAAGTTTCACGATCCCCGGGGCATCAGCGGGTCAGGGAAGAAATCAGAAGAAAAGCTGAAAGCTACCTTTCAGCATAGCAAGGCAAGCCAATTTCGATGGGCAGAGCGGCGGCTGTTCAGCAGCTGGCTGACGGCAACAAGGACATGCGTGGAGAAGAGCATTCCGAGTTGACAATCGGACACCATGCTCGGGGAATGAGGAAAAGAACAAACTATGTCCCAATTTTGTAGAGGGAAATACTAAAAGTCAGAGCAGAAATAAAAGAAATCACAGTGATAAGCAAACAGGACACCCATACATACAATGTGGTCAAAACAAAACAAAACAAAAAATAAAATAAGATAAAAGTAACAAGAGGGGCATCCTTGTCTTGTTCCTGATGGTAGAAGGGAAGTTTCTTGTGTATTTATTCAGTCACCACTTTCCTTTTCTCTTTAGATGTGCTTGCTTATTCATTATGCTCATGTGTGAGCATCTGCATGAGTTTACGTGTGGACAAGCCAACAAGTGGGTTCTGAGAGCCAAATCCAGGGCCTCTAGAGGAGCAGCCAGTTTTCCATAGACAGTAAGAAATACAGAAATAACCTCTGTTTGCTGATGATACTCTAAGGATGATGAAACTCTAAGGAGCTCACCTAAAAAAAACTCATTATAACTAATAAACAATCCAGGAAGCTTCAGGGTACAGAGCTAACACACAGAAGTCAGCATCACATCTCTATCCTAACAAAAAAACTCCTCAGAACACAAAATTAAAAAATATCTTTTCACACTAGGAATGATAACAAAGGCAACTATAGAATAATTTAAATAGGAATTGAAGGAACTATATACTAAGAAAAAAATTAACGAAAAATTGAAAGGTATCTCGTTTGTTCATGGGTTAGAAAAATAATGTTAGAATGTCCACAGTACCCAAGATGGTCTATAGATTCAATGCAGGCCTTAATCAGAGTTTCAAAGATATTTTTTACAGAAATAGAAAAATTCTTAAAGATCATATGAATTCACACAAGACTCAAATGCCCACAGAAATCTTTCTCTTTTTTAAAATTTTAAGACAAGATTTCATGTAGCCCAGGCTGGCCTAGAATTAATTGTGTGGGTGAAGATGACCTTTAGGGTCCTCCTGCCAAGATTACAGGTGTGAGCTACCATGCCTGATTTATGTGATGCTGGGTGCCAAACCCAGGGCTCTGTGCATACTAGGCAAGCATTCTACCAACTGAACCATATCCCAGTCCTTGCCAAAACAGTCGGAAGCAAAATGAACAAAGCCAGACTCATCCATCACATTGTAACAGTTTTGAACACAGCCAGCTTCATCACATTGTAACAGTTTTAAACAAAGGCAGACTAATCACATTGTAACAGTTTAACTGAGAATGTCCTCCATAGTCTTGGGCATTTGAACACTTGGTCCCAGTCTATGGTGCTGTTGGGAAAGATTCAGGAGGTGTAGCCTTGCTGGAGGAAGTTTGTCACTGGGGGAGGAGAGCTGCTTGTCTACTTACAGTTCCCAGTCTCTGGTTATGGTAGAGGATGTGAGTTTTCAGCAGTTCCATGACATTCACCTTCTGCTGCTTCTTCCCCACCATGAAAGACTCTTCTTATCCCTTGGGAAACTTAAACTGAAAAACTTTCTTCTGTAAGCAGCTTTGGTCATGGGTGTCTTGTCATAGTAAAAGAAATGTAACTAATATGTATACTATCTCTTTCAAAGTCTACTACAAAGCTATAGCAGTCAAAACAGCATGGTATAGCAAAGAGAAAAAAAAAAAGAGATAGGCATGGAATAGACAACAAGCAAAGGGGGGGAGAGATAGAGACTAAAAGAACACATACTACGAGGGGAGAAAAATCATTAGTTTCCTCAGCTCTGAACCCTGTGAGCCACTGGTATAATAGTGGCATGAATGTTATGGGAGTAACCACTTTCTGATTGGATTTAAAGCCCACCCCATAAGACAGAATTCATGTCTGTTAACTGAGCCCAAAGCTTCATAGCTGACTAGGTCATAGGCCACAGGGAACAACCTGATGCTATTTTTCTAAATGGAAATAAAGTTCCCATGAAGTTCTTACCTTGATTCCGGTATCTCTCGGCCCTCATCAGAGAAACATCTTCTTTTATTTTATTTTTGATGGTGATTGATACAGAGGCCAACGACCAGTCATCATGCAGAGAAGAAGAGAATAGAGTGCTCTAAATGGGATATCTTTATCAGAGTCTCCACCCCAGGGCCCAGGGATCGTCACAGAAGAGGAACAAAAGATTGGAAGGAGCAGAGCGAGCTGAGACCTGTGGCAAAACAATGTTTACTGGACAAGACGGCACAGTTGCACTCATGAACTTACAGCAGTTGAGACTGTATGCACAGGTCTTGCACAAGATGAAGGCAGCCATGGACTGGGGAGGGGGCTCATGAAATTCCACCCCTCGCTGAGTATCTATTGGCAGCTGGTGGCTACTGGGGAAGGGAGATTCGGTTTTCTTCAGGGATGCTGCCCCTGAGAGCTTACTCACGCTCCAGTAGATTATGTACATTCGGTACATATAAATGACAGTAAATGGACTGAGTGGATCCTAAACAAAAAACAAAGAGAGAGAGAGAGAGAGAGCACAAGAAGTTGGTAGGAAAGTATGGCTAAGGATAGAAGAGGGAATGGAGATAAACTGGAATCAAACACATTGTATGCATGTATGAACATTAAATAAAATATTATTTTTTAAAAGAAGCCAGT